ACGCAACCTTGCAGACATGGATTGTGATTCAAAATATTAATTATTGGAAACGCAATACTTTGTTTATCAATACTGTAACTAACTTAATCAAAATAATAAATAAGTGTTTAAAAGTAAAAGTGACAGTTGTTTTGTGTCTTTAGTGAACTAGTGAATTTTCTTGACTTGTTATTCAGAAATACATTCCAATAAACTGAATTCCTTGCAAGGTCAGCTAACACTAGAATGAATAAGTTGCTGTAAATGTGATGGAGTGAAGTTAATAAAGTTGACAGTTCTCGGTACCCTGTTATAGATAGACAGGTTGAGGTGACTGTGGATTTGTCATATATAAATAGCGAGAAATTGCGCGTTCTGAAGCCGTACTGTGAGGTGGTAGCTGAGTATTTAAGACGAGTCGTCTTTTATTATTTAATGGAACTTAAAAACGGTATTAGGTAGCTTCATTTTCTGAACGGTTTTGGATAGGATATACCTTGGTCATTATGGGGAAATTGGTGAGTTTTCCAGGAAAATTCATTTACGTGCTATTTTAAGGGTTTAACGCGCTGAGACTGTCTTTAAGGGTGAAAATAAAATGTGTTAATCTCCATTAGCAAAGATACACCCATATAAACTTGGATAGGAAGTCATATGCTGGCAATCTAACTGTTACCTTGATATTGATCTTTTACCTACTTTTTTACCATGAACTGAACTTTGCAAATTTTCTGTCCCTCACATCTCCAAAACTGGCAGAGATACGCCCATAGTTACAATTGGAACAGAAAGTCATATACTGGCAATCTAGCTGTGACATCCAATTTGTCCTATACTTTTTTTCACTGTGAACTCATATTTTCTGCCCCTCATATCCTCAAAAATGGCAGAGATATACCCAGTGTTGCCCCTGGTTTTCAAGGTCTGCGAGTTGGCAGGGCTATTTAGGGTCCCAACAAAACTACGGGGACCTTGGGCAAGCTACCTGTACCTTGGAAAAATTTTATCAAGGTCCTATTTGGTGCATTTTAGGTTATTTGGAACATATTTTAACATTTTATGTGACACATAATTGTCTTTGTTTAAGATGTCTTAAGGAGTAAATTAAGTAATAGCAGGTTTAAAATCATTTATTATAAATTGCATACTTAGCACATTCCAAGAAGTTGGCTTAGTGGCAGTCCTTTTTACAAAACTTGCTAGAATGAAGTTTCAGCTTCCCTCCCTCCCCATTCCCCTCCTACTTCACCGCGAATGAAAGTTGGAAATTTTGAAGCCAATAGTGAAGCCAATAGTGAATAAAGCTAATAATTAACAGTTAGGCTTGGAGTGCTAAATAGCCCTCAAAACGCATTCAAGGGCAGACTGCCACATTTACTGAAGTGTTGAAAACTAGGTCAACTCAGAAATGCTTGGGAGAAACAGTTATCAGTGCCACAATGTCTGGCCAGTGAACAGTACCCACTCCTGGTCTCTGTCTGTCAATATAAATGTATAGTACACTGCTTTTTTATGTACAGACACAGTATGTCTGTTCATATAGCTGTCACTTGTTTCTGTCGTCGCCATGTAAAAAACAAGTAACTTGTAACTTAGAACTTAAGCGGTTTACCTTATATATTCACTGAGCCGATATTTGTATAGCCCCTTTACACTGGACGGCTCCTTGCTGCGTCTCGTAGTACGGCCCCTTTAAGAGTAAAACAAAATACTTTGCGTGTTGAAAGTGGCCGATCACTGAGTATTCATTTTTCAACCAAAGCGATGCCTGTGCCTCTTTCTACGACCAGAGCGATGCCAGTTGGTCGCAAAAAGGATCCAGTGTTAAGGGGGTTTAAGCACCACAGCCACTAAAGCGAGATACTTATGTGTAACTACTGAAACCGTCACGAGTGAGACGTGTGTGAACGTATTTCAATGTGACCTGCTGAGCAAATACGCATAAACAACGGCGAGGCACCTCTGTCAGGACGAGACGTCTTAAGCTTGCACATAAGTACATTTGTACTCTGCACAAGCAGACGCACACTTACAAAGGCGGGACACCCTTGATGAGAAAGTCCAACACCAGGATTTGTTTTTTTTTTCTCCTGTGAAAACCATTGCGTTGAACGCAGCACTAACCATCCCTTCTTCCACCTCCTTTCACCAGAACTCTGCAGCTGATGAAGGCCACTTGGCGACCGAAAAGCGTTTACTGCAACCAGTCCACCCCCGCCGGCTGTACGTCCCTAGTACTGCCGTATTTTAAGTTCAAACTCATACAAGGGGAACGTAAGCAAGAATAACATTCTCTTACCTTCGCTGGATATTTACTTCGAGTTTTATGCTGAAAACGTTCAAAGGCTCTTTTATTTTGCTCTTCAAGATCTTGATGGCGTTATTACACGCGCCTCGAGGAATCGAGAATCGTGATTGGATTGTAGAGATTGAGAGGAGGGGAAAACTTCAAAGACTGACGTCAAAAGCCACTGTGTGCCAAGACAAAGGAAGCGGCTCCAAAATCACTGAATATAAACTAAATTACTTTTTTTATCTTCATGAAGCTTCCAAGGTATGTCGCACTTGGCGGAGGGGATCTGCCAACATTTTTGTCAGGAACTAAAAATTAAAAGTGTACCAGGCAAAATTTCAAAATTATAGGTCTACCGACAAAGCCGCTGTAAACAATGCATTGTAACGATATAGTGATGACTACGAGGTGGACTTTAAGACGTTTACTCACCGTCTTTATTTACATGCAAACACTAGAACGCTGACTAATTTACTGAGTGCATCTGGGGGGGGGGGTCAAAGGGGTCCTGAGCCCCCTTTCGATTGCTGATAAAAAAACGCACAAAAAAAAGAAAAGAAACGAAAACTCGTAGCTGAATAGCTGAATAGTAGCATAGTTGTAAAGCGTGCCAAATGGTCAGCACTAGATCATATACGGCAGCGGGACGGAAGTGAGTAATCCAACATGGCGGTCCCTAGCGACGAGATGCTAAGGCTGATAGTCGAATGTTGTAGTGCCGATCAAAACACAGTTCAATTTTTAATCGTATAATAACTAGGAATATAGCATATAATTTTTATTTACTTTTTAATTTATCTTTTTATTTTTTAATCGTATTATACCTAGGCTTTTGTAAACTTTGCGATTTGAATAAAGTAGATGAGTTCCACCTCCTGCTAGAGTGAATAGCATATGATTCAATACGTGATCCCGTCAGAGGGCAGCTGTCAGAGTTCCTACCCCTAGGCGACTTCAGCTTTAATGAACTGTATAATTTTCTTATGGGTGCTCAAGACTTAAATATTCTTAGAATGGTTATGCGTTTTGTAAATAGATGCTTCCAACAAAGGGAACAAACCCTCTCTTATAAATTGTTCTCTTTTCAGTGTTTGTATTTAAATTCATCGTCTGTAGATTATCATTACACATTTTATATATATATCACTTTATAAACTCATTTATTAGTATTATTATACATTTATCTAATTGGGTCTAAATGCGTTTCCACGTCCTGCAAATTTACGTATCTGTAGCTGGAGTTGTCTGTTTTACCTCTATGATTGTACTTCGGCCCATTTTTAAACACGTATTCATTTATATCGCATCAAAATCATGTATATTTATTCATTTACTTGTTTGTACTCTGTTATAGTTAGATGTACTGTCTTTGATTGTACCTTATTTGTGAAGGTGTATCAATAAAGAATCCCTAGGGATATAGCATACATGTATATTTTCCTAGATATTTTGCTGTAAAACTACATCCTATAAATGTCTCGGCGGCGCCACTCGGAACTACTCGGATGTCTCCGCACTCGACAATAAGTATGGTTAGTATGGAGCTTGCGGAATGAGCCGAGGATTGCCGATTGCGGCGGCGCTGGGGGCCGCCATGTTGGATTACTCACTTCCGTCCCGCTGCCGTATATGATCTAGTGCTGACCGTGCCAAATGGCATCATTTGCCCTTCAAAACACCTTTTTCAATCTGAGGCCTCTCAATCCCTAAAAAACCGGACCCCCTTTCAAAAATTCTGGATCCGCCCCTGTCTGGTGTAGATTACGCTTGGGAGAGAAAGCCAGCAGCTCAGATCAGGAAGTTCTGTTCCACTTGACATACTAGTACGTTCGAAACACCTTTTTACTTGATATATTGAGTGTCTCAAAAAGGGTTACTAATTTCAAAGTCAAGTAATTTGAACATGCAGTCAAGGCCTGCAGCTCAGATCAGGAAGTTCTGTTCCACTTGACGTACTAGTACGTACGAAACACTATTTTGTTTGATATGTTGAGTGGCTCAAAAAGCGTTACTAATTTCAAGTTCAGTAATTTGAACATGCAGCGTTGCGGATATTGCAATGGAATTTGCAATTTTCCCGCCAAAGTAGATTTCCCTCGAAAAATGCAATTTTCTTGTACTCACGATTCATTATATATCCTTTTTTAGCACTTGGAGTTAAACCTTAATTAAATTTATAAAGGTTAATGTAGTGTAATTTGACCGTCTCTATAACCAGCGGCCGTCTTCCTTCTATGTGAATATCAACAACTAGTACCCTCCAAAAAAAAAAAAAAAAATAATTAAGGGTTAACTCGTTCTGGGGTATATGCCAAAAATAAGTCTTGGGGAATTTTCAAACCTATGGAGTATACCTTTAATGCGACACCCAAAACACAATCTTTTAATTTAAAAACAATTCTGTTATACGATTTTTAACGAAGGCCATTCCGGGATCCAAAAATGACACAATATCCTTAATTTCGTGGGAAAGTAAGAAAACAGTGACTCAAATCCTGCTGCTGTGTAACTTAAAACTCGAGCGATGTTTTATGCCAAGCTTCGTGTGCAGCTCCACTGTACTGCGCTTTTTTGTGATTTATCAGAAATGTCTGTCCTGTAAACTTCATTTCGTTCTTCAGCAGTGGTTATGGAATACGTATTTCACATCCTTATAATAAATTTATTTTATGCAATGTTTGTTTTAACCAAAACATAAATATCGCACATTAGGCTTCATCAGTGTCATCTATTTCTCGTTGAGCATACTGGCACTATGGAGTCCTAAAATACAAGAGGAAAACAATAAATCAATAAGGGTCCTAATTTGTGTTAACAAACTGATAACTTATTTATAAAGTATCAAGCCCAGGCAGTGGTCATGGAGATCCAAGGTGGCGGAGTGGGCTGACTAGGAGTGGGAGGTCACGTCACTAAACTATTTGATTTTACGTGGCTGCCTCTAGCCCAAAGTACATGTATGTGATCATGTATGGACATTGGAGTTATTAGATTTACTAATTGGGCATTATTATAGACAAAAAATTGTTTGATAACATAACAGGTTTGAGTGTCAAATATGTAAAAAAAAAACAATAACATCAAGCACTATTGCACATTTGTTTCATAATAAAGCTTTGCAACCTTCAGATGACACAGCAAAACTTATCAGGTTGCCTCAGCTACAGCCAGAGGTACAAAGAGGAGTCGAGCGATGAGAACAAAATACAGGCTCAAAGAAAATGAAAACTAGTGGCAACCATACGCCTATAACATAGACCACTATCCATCCATTTAATGCCGCAAATAATGGAAGGTCTACCGAGACCGATTCCATACTTTCACCACTGCAAACACCATACCAGGAAAAAAGTGACCCCCGTTTATCTCACCAACAAACCAGGGACAATATACAATCTGTTTACACAAATGGCGACAATTCAAACACAGCCAAATGACATCAACGTGCTTACTATGAACGAACAACTAACTTCATGACTGACTAAAATGGCCCTAGTTTTTTTTTTTTTTTTTTTTTTTTTTTTTTTTTTTTTTTTTGTGTGTGTGTGTGTGTGTGTGTGTGTGTGTGTGTGTGTGTGTTAAAGAGATTTTCAAGTTCTGGTCCATCAACAGGTTGCCTGTGAGAATTCCCCGGGATGCAGCAACGTGTGGTTTTACGTCAATAAATGTCCTTAAGACGAGGCTACCCGCACAAGCTTCCCTTGTTAAGTTTCAAGGACCTCACCAGCAAGACAATAGAACACTGGAAAGAAAATCCACCTAAAAGCTGTCAAATTGCCAGAGAGACAGAATCAGCCCCTGAACCGGCTGAAAAATGCATCTGGGATCAAAGAGGCGACTCCATAACAGGAGATATTCATAGAAATCATCACAGCATTCATAGGCTACACATCGACTTAGACTGGGTTCCCACAGATTTAGATCGATCCATCTGGATCGACCTAACTTCCTGGGGGTTCACGCTAAATTGCTGTCAGCTGAACGGGCACGAAAGTTAATTACCACCTCACAGCTATTAGTAGGCGGGACAGACATTTAAGCCGGCTAAACTGATAGCAATCTAGTGAGACTCCCCACGGGGATAGTTCGTTCTAAAATCTGTGGGAATGCAGTCATCGCAAATAATCAGTTCAAACTTGACGTGTTATGCATTTCAAGGAAAAGCACTGTTTTTGAGCTAATTTGATAAAAACATGAAATCGGTCGACCAAGAACATTATAGAATTCGGCAGAGCATGGTTATCGTAAAACCTTCCAAAATCTTCCTGATAACTCGTAATTTCTAGATAGAGTTATACTGAATGGGTGTTACCGTATGACAATTGCTTTAAGAGTATTGCTGTTTATCCAAGGCTATCATCTCCTAAAAGCAATTCATTTTACATTATTTCAAAAAAACAAACAAAAATAAATAAATAAATAAATGATTACAAAAAAGTCATAACAAAATGTTACCTTTACAAATGCTTCTAGACACCATATCACCAATGTTCATAAGCGCTGTAAAATCATCGACATTGTAAACATGTCCGTCATCGGGATCACTGGCAATGGCTTGAAGCTCACTGTAGTTTGTAAAGTTACCAATACCAATAGCAAATATCTCTATACCTTGCTTTTGAGCTAATTCTGCTTCTTTTTTGGTCTCAGTGGGGTCGTCGGAAAGCCCGTCAGTTATCACAATGGCGATTTGCGGAATTCCTTTTCTAGCACCTGCTGGTCGTAATGGGTTTAAAAATGCCACCCTTGCTAATCGTATGGCTAGAGAAGTGTCTGTGCCTCCGCCTTGGTAAGCTACAGCATCTATCTTATTCAAAACATCAGTTTTGTTGGTGGTGTCTCGCAATATAAATTGCACTTTGTAACCTGTCCCAAAGGTTATCATAGCCACCCGAACTGCGTCTTTACTGACATTAAAAGAAGTATTCACCATGTTGTGGATGAACTGCAAAACTTTCTGGAATTGAGCTTCTCCAACAGTCCCTGATTCGTCCACCAGAAATGCAACATCTACTCTCAGTTTGCAATCTGCAAAAGACGGACAATAGAAAACCTACCTGAGTTATGACTGTTTACATTCCCATTGTTGCGGCTTCAAAATCAAAAATCAATGGCTGTTTTTTGTTTTACATAAAAATATGTCTAGCATGATGGATGCTACGCCCCAGCAAATAGAGAACATACTGTTACCATAACCTTCTTTTGGTAATGTCAACGTTAGGTGACGTTATAGCAATGTTCTCTGTTGCTGGGATGGTGCCAACGTGGAGTGTTCTTGGGGATGGGGGACCTACCAAAAAGTGACACGCCTACCGTAATCATGTACATTGCTACATGAGTACCAACATTTTTAATTTTACTATTACATAACAACTACGCAACCGATCATAGTGTAAATTAGGGATATAAGTAGTAATGCATTGACCTACCTAGCTTAACCATTGAGATACTCCAACATCAATTATTTCTTTAATATGTGGCTCCTAAGTGAGAGGGATACCTTTTCTAAAGCGGTTGGCATAGAAGGGAGTTAGGTTGTTCCATGGGAACCATTCAGAGAGAGACAAAATCATAAGCAAACAGGCACACAATGAGAGAATGTTAATACTCCTTCCTCGTAGAAAACGTTTCATGAAATTTTGGAACTTGACTACAGCATTTGAGAAGAACAGGCTAGGGCAAACCATGTTTATGAGTTTACCGCCAGAAGATGTCTGCACAATCGTCATTGCTTTGGTAGGTTTATGTTAGGAGACCAATGAACAATGCCAGGAACCTTTCTTTTACATAACGTGCGCAACATATGCGAGCTGTTCTATGTCTTACTTCTTCCCTCACTTATGTGTTTTATGAGGGGGGCGACAGGGGGGCCAATGCCCTTAAATGCTTAAATGACCTGAATACTTACTTTTTGCGCATGTCTGTCCGGTATATCCGGACAGACATACGCAGCTGTAGAAATTCACACCATCCATACACGTGGCTCCATTTTTACATGGTTGACTGGCGCATTCATCGATTTCTAAATGGGAAATATTGGAAATAAATGGGAAATTAATTTCATGAAAACGATCTGCTAAAATGTCTAAATTGCAATTAGAATTTATGCGTCTGGTGTCAATATATCCTTCTAAAATATATAGAAGACAAAAAGGTCTAAAGCATGATCCGATGGAAATAACAGAAATGTTAGTTTAGTAGTCACTCTAATACATGGACCTAGAAGTTTTTGTTCCTATGAGGTTTATATTTCTTGATTCGGGCTCACGTGTGTCCTTAAGGCAAATTTAGCTTGGTTGCCACTTTGGCAAATTTGGAGAACTTTAAATATTCAAGATGGCCTCCGATACCATTAGAACTATACGCCCTCGCTAATGAAAGGCACTTGATCTTGGTTGATACCATTATTTCAGCCCAACAATGCTCTATAAATGTATTTGGTGAAATCCCTGTTTAGGAACACTTTCGAACATTTTAGTAAATCCAAAATGGCCAAAACTGCCAAAGAAATAAATTTTCTCTCAGAATTGGCTGAAATCATCGATTATTTCATTGAACAGACATAATTTAAAGATAACTACTAAAATTGCTGATTTAACTTCCATCAATTAAGTTTTATGAAACATTTGAGGCTACTGGAATTTTTACAAGATGGCTGTCAAATCCATTTCAAAACATTAAAAGACGTATCGTTTCCATTATAACATATCTAAAAAGACCGAATTATTTCACTTTTCAGTCACAGTTTTGAACTCAGTACACACTGCAGATGTTATATTGGATTTTGCTCCTATGAATTAAGTAATTACCGTGGCCCGTATTCCAAGATGTTCCTTAAAATAGGCCTAAGGTCAACTTTTATAAAGGCTTCCTTTGATGAGGTGTTCCTTGGTAAAGGAAGGCCTAAAGAAATGGTATTCTAAGACCACACTTTAGCCTCTCCTTTGATAAGGAATTACTTTGACAAAAATCAGCCTTTAGGTAAGGGACACTGACAAAAAGGAGTTCCTCATTGGTTAGAGCAGGCCTTTGTGACACCCTCCTCGTTAAAAACGCCTCATTAATGTTGTATAATTGAGGTCAACTGATCAATTTTAGTCATGCAACAGCGCATATGGACATTATCACTGCATGTGGATGTTTTGATCTAAGCCAAATTTAGTGAATAAAGCAAGTATGGCAAGAAGAGAAAAGAATGGTTTGGAGGATGATAAAACCAAAGTCATAGACCCTTTTCTGATATCGAAAAAGCAGCTACTGATGCAACTAGTCAACAGGGAAAAGCCTATCCTCGATCAAATGAATTACTTCCACCAAGGAGGTTGTTTTCATCCCTGTTTGTTTGTCTATCTGTCTGTCTGTTTGTTTGTTTGTCATCAGCATAACTCAAAAAGTTACTGGCCGATTTTGATGAAATTTTCAGGGTAGGTCAGAAATGGGTTAACTTAGAAGTGGTTAGTTTTTGGTGGTGATCAAGATCAATAATCAATCAATAATCAATAATCAAAAATAACTCAAAAAGTAATGTGCCGATTGTGATGAAAATTTCAGGAACTGTCACAAGTGGGCCAAGGAACAGATGATTAGTTTTTGGTGTGGTGACCCGGATCAATACTCAATCAATAATCAAAAATAAAAAATCTAAATCATTATAGAATGAAAATTGGGTGTAGAGACTTTGCTCTCGGAGTGCTTTTCTAGTTGAATTTATTGATTTTGAATTTAGATAAGCATGTTGGTTAACATAGTCCTCCATGGAGCTGATTTTCACAAGAGAAATGTACACGATGGCTGCTTAAGGAAGACTAAAAGTTACTCCAGACCAACCTTACATTTTAAGGAATCCTCAGCCGAAAATAAAGGAAATCTTTAAGCAAAGGCAGATTCTAGAAATGACCGATTCCTTTGCTAAGGATGATTGTTAAGTGATTCCTTTCAAGTGAGATAAAGAAAGGTCTTGGAATACAAATTTCGTATAAGGTCGACTTTAAGTCTCCCTTAAGGCTAAAGGGAGATTCTGAGTACGGGCCCATGTTTTAGACAATCACGACTTTCCCAAAATGTCCTCCAATGCCCATTGAAAAGTACTAATTTCGATATATTGGATCTAAAGTATTGGTCACAACACCATTTAAGCTCATTTGTAAGCTAGAAGTATGTTGATATGGTTCTTTGTACTATCTGAGGGAGTTCTGGTGGAACTTGTTGAATAAAAAAAGGCCGACAACAGGGAATGTTACTGACCTATGGCACACGTCTGTCCAGTATATCCAGACAGACACACACAGCTGTAGGAGTTCACACCATCCTTACACGTAGCACCGTTTTTACATGGTTGACTGGCACATTCATCGATGTCTGAAATACAAATGTAGAACGTGATAATAACGGTGCTAATGTTTCCTTCCCACGTGTATAGCACATGAGCACTGATTTATACTGACCATAACTTCCAACGCTACACTTGGGTTTATTACAGCACATGTCATTTTCTTACGCTAAATTTAACAATACATATAAATATCAAAATCAAAAACACAGTTTCAGAGTCAGGAATGAAGAACAGATTTTTCCTGGTTTCAAGTTCATTGCATCAGTTGAAGACGCAGTTCTGGATCACCAAAGTCAGTATCTTGTATGGCCTCCTCTGGCGTCACTGTATTCTGCGATGCACGAGTCAGTCAATTGCCGAATTTCAGCCTGTGTGATGCTGCCTTATTCCTCCTGGAGTGCTTGACGCAACTGTCGGACTGTGTCCGGTTCTGGATCACGAATATCCCATAGATGTTCTATAGGGTTTTCATCTTCCTGTTTCATTATTATACCAGTTCCAGAGACATGATATGGTCGACACGCGGACGCCAAGGCTCCTTGCAACCCGTCTTTGTGACTTTCTGCCAGTGAGCATACCAACGGCTCGCTCTCGCTGATTTTGACCTAGGCGCAACATGGTCACACGTTGACCCAGGACAATGGAACACTGAAGTTGCCCATCACTAATGCTATTTTTTGACCAAAATCTGGAAGGATTGGTCAAAGAGTTCTACTCAGCCTGACGGGTTAGACAAAAGTCTGAACACTGTGCAATCAAGAGAAACGAGTGCCCACACGACAAAGTCAAATTTTTTTTCTGAGCTCTCAAGGTTAAGTTGATTTATCATGACTTAAAACCAATATCCAATTTCATGTACATCCAATATTTAAAAATTGTATGTGTTGCGTTGGAAGTTTTGGTCAGTATATTTCACATTTCCTTTCCTACTCGAACCTCTGTTTTGGGGATGTAGAGGAGTGAGACGGGAGATGACTCTTTAAGGTCGTGCATGGCTTAATACTGACCAATGTTACACGTCTGTCCCGTATATCCAGGTGGACACACACAACTGTAGGAGTTCACACCATCCCCACACGTAGCACCGTTTTTACATGGGTGACTGGCGCATTCATCGATATCTGAATAGTAAATATTGGACATAATAACGTAATGAGAATGATCATCTAAAATTTCTAAAATATTATCATCTAAAATTCCTACAATATGCGTCACATGTTCTTTTTTCACGCAATCATTAAGGTTTGACACGGTGCATTTATCAAAGTCGGAAATAAAAATGTTGAACGTGATAACGAAGTGGAAACGATCTTTGATCGTGTCTAATATTCTAAATTTTCTGAAATTTCTATGGATGCGTGAACTGTTTCGAATATTTGACTTAATCGGAAAAACAAATATAACATTAAACAAGGGTGACTATAAGGGTATAACGTATGTGCACTCAAGTAGGTGCAAGACACCCCTTGGTGAACTGATCTATTTCACACTTCTTCCCATACTTATGCCGCTATGTATGGGGAAGGAGGTGATAACTCTATTAGGTCTTACATGACTGAAAAGTGGCCATGCAGAATAGATGATCCAAGTTCTAACTGATCTGCCGACTAAATATGGCCGACCGCACTTTAAAAGCGATGCCCCTGATTCCCGATGGTCTCCCCGCCACCACACGCACCACTAAACGAATTTAATCTCATCTCCAAGGTTAAATTGCTAGGCCCCTGCAGCGACGGCGGGGATGGAGGCGGGGTGACCATCATAGGATCAACGGAATCGCTTTTGAACTGGGGTCGGCCATATCTAGTCGGCGGATCAGTTAGTACTCGGAGCTTATATTCGAAATGAACCCATACTGACCTACTGTACACGTCTGTCCCGTATATCCAGGCTGACACACGCACATGTAGGAGTTCACACCATCATAACATGTAGCCCCGTTTTTACATGGTTGACTGGCACATTCATCTATATCTGGATGGGAAATATTGAACATTATGGTTAGACCAAAATGCGCCAGATTTTCGAAGGTTTAATATATATCAAGCACGAAAGGCACAATAAGTACGAAAACAATTTAATTACATGCTATATTTTAATTAGTATCACATCAGGTATTAAATGTAAGTACAATTGAAATTCTTAATTGAAGGATACGTGGAATCTGTGACCACACACGTAATCACGAAGAGATTACGGGTGTGTAAGATAACAGGACATTTTTACCAACATGCTTATAAAATTATAAAGGTAATTGTAAATAATAATAATAATAATAATAATAATAATAATAATAATAATAACCCGTTACTGTTATACCATGCATAAATATCTGTGGTCTTGAAAATATATAGTAAAATAGATTCCAGGTAATAGCAAAAGCAAATTAGAATTAGATGATGCTGACTAGTTTTTCCTCCCACGTGCACAGAGTATGTGCACTCAAGGATGTACAAGAGACTCCTTGGTGCACTGACCTATTTCACACTTCTTCCCATAATCTTGCCACTGTGTCTGGGAGGGTGGGAGGATGATAACCCTATAAGGTCTTACATGACTTTATACTGACCTGTTGCACACGTTTGTCCCGTATAACCAGACAGACACACACAGCTGTAGGAGTTCACACCATCCTTACACGTAGCCCAGTTTTTACATGGTTGACTGGCGCATTCATCGATATCTGAATGGGAAAGATTGATCACAATCAAATAGGCAAGATCTTTTTGGCCACTATTTTCAATTATCTAAAATTTCCATTAATGGGGTCGATGTAGTGAATTTTTCCCCCATCATTAAATTTGCAAGCAATATAAGCATTAAATCATTTGTATATTTACCATATTGAAATCGATATAAAACGACCCTCAGCATTAAGTTCATGTAATATGCGCTGGGGCTTCACTTATAGTGAAATTTTTCTGTTCCTTGGGTAGGGTAGATGTGAAATTGAAATTATAAGATATTACGCACAGTTCAAGTAGGGGTCCATTGAATTATTCAGCGACAAGTTACGCTGTGATGAAGCAGAAGTTTTAACTTAAAAGCTTATGTGCATTGGGGTTTACCAGAACGCTATAAGAATGTAAAGTGTGATTCGTAAAAGCGCCCTAAATTCACATGGTCTCTACTTATATGTAGTAGAGAATCATTTTATCTCATTGTAAACACAAGCTAAAAAATACACATATCTTACCCGTGGTGCTTGGACGGGTGGTGGTGGTCACTTTCAAGCATTCAATGTGGCGTTTTGATGCCAGGTCAAGAGCATGCTGAGCCAACTTAATTTTCAGGTCCAGAATATCCGAATCCACGGGTGCCAACTGCCTTTTCCCAAAAAGGCCCCCAAGTTGTGCAAAGTTGTCCGGTTTATGGAAGAAAGATGGGCAATCCGCATAGATTTCTTCCATAAGTCTCTCCAGCTGGGCATTGAGAACATAAAGATGGTAAGTTTTGGCGAAGTTGCTTTGAGATGGCGAGATCTGCCCCAGTATCGTCTGATGTAAGCAGACGACAACGAGAAGCGGCGCCCATGTTACCCTCAACATCTTTTCACCGATATGATCATCACACGCAACAGGCGGTCTCATTTGTACGTGTGCGATAAGAAGTCATATGAAAAATATGTTTTTTATACACAGACACTATGAGTGCATTCCCATAGATTTTTAGATCGATCTATCCCCGTGGGGATTCTCACTAGATTGTTGTCAGCCTGGCCGGCTTAAATGTCTGTCCAGCCTACTAAAAGCTGTAAGGGGGTAATTAACTTTTGTGCGCGCTCGGCTCTCGGAACCTGACAGCAATTTAACGTGAACCCCTAAGGAGTAAGTTCGATCCGGATAGATCGATCTAAATATATGGGAACCCAGTCTATGTGTACCCGGATCGGAGAGATCGCCTATGCCATTCTTTCCATATATTTTGTCAACGTTCAATCTACAAATGCAAAACGATATTTATATTTTATTTCAAAATTGTTGAGTGCTTCTGTTTGATAAAATGGGAGGTTTATTTTGAAAATAAGCAAGATTGGATTACCTTGACAAAATTTTTAAGGTGTGTTTTGGCCATCTTGTATTTTGTTTTTTTGTTCTTGTTCATTCTAGGGTATAATTGCCCCGAAACACCACATAAAGAAAATTGTCAGAAACAAATCGTGAATGACATATACCCTCTACCAGGGCGACAGATTGATTTCTCACAGATATTCACAGATATGTCTCTAGATAAATAGACAGTCATTATGGTCTGCTGTCAGCAAAAAATGTCCACAATAATAACTGGACCATAGGACCATATTTAGGTTGGATTGCTAATTTCCATATGCCTTTTTCATTTATTTATTTATTTATAATGGAAGCACGACGTTGCTTACTTTCCAGCATGTTATAAATTTACTAGGTCAGACTGATCGGATTTATGATTGCCACTTTTCTGCGTTAAAATGGATATGATAAACCCCACGCTCTTCACTATTTGTAGTCTTACCATTTACAAAATGAGCGATTTTATTCCGTCTTTCAGTTACAGTACTTGTTGACAGACTGATGAATATACAGAAAATATTCCGTCGAATAATGATAGTATTTAGATTGTTTGTTTACGATCAGTCTGTTGGACTCAGTGGTGAATAAATATTTACATACACCGGTAGCTTAGGTAATAGTTGACTTGCATGTTTCTCACAATCTCAGTATACAACAAAGCTGACCACACAATACATGTATTAGTAGTCCCTTAAAGTAAGAATCTGCCATTTATAATAGAACAGAATCTAATAGAACAACATATTTGTAAATTACCAGAATACTTATGGGCTTAATGACAACACTGCAAAATGATCGCTACAGTTTTTTTTCTATTTACAACACGTTATCGTTAAACATCTACTTCTAGTGGATCCTTGAGTGCAATTGAAGACGAGTTCGTGAATGTATTAACAAGGGTGTGTTCGTGGTATTATCAAACCGTCAATTAATGATATATTTTCTAAGTTCCTCGTAGGCGTTTAACTTAAGATATGATAAACACTGCACTAATGCTGAATGTGAATGTTGTGAATTTATGCAAATTTTATGTTAGTTATTTGGTTCAATGTGTTAATGCATTCTAGGAAAAGTTGATGTATATTCAATTTTTAAATGTTACAGGTTTAAACGACATGTAATAAAAATACTTGCAGCCAACCTAATCCTGTATACCAGACTGTTCATTGATTTGCACACTCCACTGTAACATGACCGCTTTATTGATACTAAACCTCCGCAGGCTTATTAATCGGGTCCGTGATTTATCAACTGTACAAATAAGTGATCAAGGGTTTATTGGAAATTAAATTTTACGTCATACTTACTATTACATCATTGCGGGTGTCGGGAACAGTGCCTCCTGTTTAAACATTTGCAACCAAATATTACTCTGTTAATATTAGCCTTTCTTAATGTAACACATAAATAGCTACAGGATATGGGGCACTTTAATTGTCAATGGAGGCCATCTTCTGAGTCTTCCGGAAGACTGTCAGAATCTTTAATGTTAAAATTGACGGGCATTTCATTTTTTCTGCTCGAAGACTGTCAAAAACGGAGGATGAATCAAGAGAGATAATTTGAAAGACTGTCAGAAAATATATCTGGACCCGCCCCTGATATATGCATTCCAGTAAAAAATGACTGAGGTTGTTGCATTTGTTTATATTCCGTAAAAGGATGGGGTTTAAAATGTGCAAATCTTTTTAAGTAAAAGCTGTGCTAGAGTCATGCCTGTATTTCCAAATGAATTTGCGAAGTTGTTGGTATATTTATGGCGGCACACGTAATGCCAACCACACACATTGTCGTCATCGCGTACCCTGGTCACGTGTTCTGCATCAATAACGTCAATGCCCAATTTTCGAAATTTCTCATCTAACACTGTATTGCAGGCAGCCTGAATGAAATTGTTTCTATACCCGGTCGATGGACCGAACGCAGAAGCAGGAAACGCAACATTGTTCATCCATATTATTCTGGCTTCTTTCCACGAATAATCGTCCTGCAAACGGGTTACCTCATTGAGAATGCGCATGGAAGAATTGTAGAGATAGTGCGCCCAACCGTTCATCCATAGATCCCACGATCCAGCTGATATCACAATGACGTCATTTTTCGTTTTTATGACGCCATCTTTATTTCTACTGTGACTCAAGTTAGCTAATTTATCAGCAAGTAAATCGGGAAACCCGGCAAATAAGATCTTGAGTTTAGGGAAGGGGCTGGGCAAGAGATCATAATGTCTGTGGTAGACGACGTTACTCATGTTGATCCCTAGTAATTCAAGATAATAATCACCAGTGTTCCGTACGTGAGAATCTCCAATGAGCGTTATAGAGGATAGTTTCTCAAAACATGAATGTATCTGGTCATCATTAAAAAATCCAAATAAACACCCATCTTGAGATCCCCACCTCCATTTGCCGCTGGGTCGTCGAAACCATCTTCCTTTCAAATAATCCTCAGTTGATACCTGATCACAAAGCCGTTTGTGATGTGACGTCACTTTTGAAGTGACGTCAGCGGTGTTGTAGGCTGGAGAACTTACGTCACCTCTTTCCCACTCCGTTGTGCTCTCTTTCGGTCCTTTCGCCTCGTCACTTGGGCACCAGAAATTTTCGTAGATTTTCTTAAACAGTGGTGTCATAACTTCCTGCAAGGAATGAACCGAGTACGCCTCGAAAGCCGTGTACTGAAGATGAATTGTAATATTAGCACACTGGTTCGCGGCAGGACAGCAGGCAGTATATGTGCCATTAAAGTGATCTATAGCTTTGCAGTGTGTCCACTCCTCGCCTTTGATTTCAATACGAAAACTAGATCCCCCGTCAGACCATGTCCATTCTTCCTTCACCCAGTCATAAAGATATTCACTGATTCCTATGATGATCTCTGTCTCCGTGGAAACGTAAAACACATCGTGAGCATAATTCAGTGCGTCTCTTCGGCGTTTCTTTGTAAGATTTTCCATAATTGACCACGTGGCGGGGTCTTTTTGAAGCTTGAGCACTGCATCTATACTTAGATTCACTGGTCCAATAAACTGCTGCGTTTTTAGGAAAGATTCTAACTGTGCGAATTCCGCCCGTTGAAGACTGGTACACGTGTCACGGGGCACGGGGCTATAACCGTTAGGTTTAGATTTAGGATCCGTGGCCAGCACCGTTGAGTTGGTCCGCAGTCCTGACAACGAAAAGGAAACTGAGCTGGAGGGATATTGGTGGTTCCAGTAGATGCATGTTCCAAGCAGCAGCGGCATCATAATTAACAGATAACGAAGCTGGACTTTCATCATGTAGTGATAAGATCTTTGCTGGTTAGACGATATGTAACAGAATAAAATCGTTATTTGGAGAGATCGGATCTGAAAAATATCAATCTGCATTGAACATACCTACGTATGAAATTACATAACTGCAATTTTAAAGGGCGTTTTTTTTTTTCCAAAAAAGCTGATATTTTTACTGTAAAGCCTCTTTGTGGTCCAAGCACCTATAACAAATTTAAAATGACTTCCTCGTGGACACGAGTGTTTCTCTTTTCGAACCTCTAAACCTCCTCCCTACGCCTCCCTTTCATTTTCCCTCAACTTATGACAATGTAAAGTAACGATTGCCTGTGTAAAATAGCGTAGTGATCTAATGTAGCCTACGTTAATAATTAAACATAATCGACTCGGGAGTGCAACATACATGTAGCACGTATCATGTTATATATACGTACAGTATATGTTTTAATTGCACAGAAAATGATATTGATAGTCAAAAGACAAGCCACTTACATGTGTATTGTATCACTGGAGAACTTTATAACCTTTATTTTGTAGTCTCCTCGTCTTCTTCGTTCAGATTTTATAGAACGTTGTGATTCTCGTTTACAGTGCAGCGGCCCTATTAGAAAAAGAGAAAGACTTATGAAAACGTGTTGTTACTGAGATTTAACGTGTGGTCTCTATTAGATATCCATTTGACTTTACCACATCCCAGCTGTTCAAATGTGTCCAGATTGATCGCTTATTTGATACGAAGACAGTTGCATATAAGCAAATATACATTCACGTGAATACTTTCCATGGTCTTAAATCAAGACCAGGAAATTTACGATATCAGTAGAATTCAGGCCCCGGTTTCACAAAAAAAAAAAAAAAAAAAAAAAGTCAGGTTTCCTGACAAAGAACTTTTAATCAAACCATTCTAATTGAAATTACCAAAGTTACACGGTCACCTAGACACGTATCTTACCCTATCAGGAGTAGAGTAACAGCACTCTGATGGAGATCCTAGTCAATTAAGCTAGGGAACTGACTTAACTTTTTTTTGTTTGTGAAACCGGGGCCAGTTCTTTCTAAATCGACTGAAAACGTAAGTTGTTTTTAGACTTTCGAATTTTTAGGTTGTGTGCGTATATTTCATCAGTACTTGTAATCCAGGTTGTATGAAAGGAGAGCCAAAAAAAAAAAAAAAAAAAAAAAGCGAGTCTGTGAAAAAACATATATCATTCTGCAGTGACTG